CACCGTTAAAATTGTCTTTTATTTACATAAAAACACCTTATGGGTTGTTACCAAGCACATAAGTGCGTCATGCAATATATTCACTACACCAATTTAAAAGCTTCATGTGTCATTATTTTTTTTCTTTATTATTAAGTATTTAATAAATTTATGTTAGCTTCCCCAAATTTAAACCAAAATAATCGTTGGTAACCCTAATTTTTTGATTTCATGGTTTTTTCCACAGCAAAATCAACATTGTTATTCTTTGTTTGACGATTTCATCATCCTCTCCAAGAAAATAAGATACCACTGTTGGCTAGGATCTGTTTTTGGAGCTTTGAAAAAATGTGCAGAAACTTTTGGGGCAATGAAGAATGTGATGTTATTATTCAATAAATTCAGAGTAAACACTCCCGAGCTTTGGATACTCATGTCTAAACGCACCAGCAACAGTCCATGCCTTAAATATTGGACGCAAGCGCTACTTAGATCTGGGCATAATTAGAGCAGATATGAGCTTTGCTAGCAAAAGGGTTACAACTAAAAGCAATCCCACATTCAAAATCTTGTTGTCACCTAATTCCATATATAATTGAATAAAAAAACCGAATGAAGAAAAAAAATGGAAATTTCTTGATGGTACATGCCAAACAGAGAAGAAAAGGAAAGAAGAAGACTTTTGTTCAAAGAATAGGGTCGTGGCGGGTTGAATTATATCATAGGGAGTGAGCACACGCTCCACTACATATATGAGGGAATGAGTCAAAATGATCCATTTACAAAGATATTAAATAGTTCGGTGGGGTGATAGGACACTTTGAAAGTTAAGGTGTCTTTATGTAAATACGGGACTATTTCGATGATGTTTTTATGTCTTTTCTCTTTAAGAAATACTTAATATAAATGTGTAAACCCACTATTATCATATGATATAATAATATGATAGATTTGAGCACCTCTCTATGAGAGGATAAAAATTTAAATCTAACAACAATCTTGTTTTTTTAGTAACACCTCTCTAAGTGGTTATGAGTAACTATTTTTACGTTTCAACTAATTTTCTTTTTTTTTCTTTAATTATCAAAATTTTCAAGTGTGTTACACTGAAAATTCTTTGAAAGAATAGTAGTACTTGTAAATTTTTTATATAATTAAATCAAATATGTATATTAAAAAAAATAGTAGTATTATCTATGTTGGACATATAATTTTTATAACTTGATGATTTATATTAAGAATCTAAAGATCATATCAATTAAATTTATATTTAAATGCATTTTTCATAATAGTGCATTCTTCCAAAATCATGAAGACGCCTGTGATTCAATATCTGACTAAGGAGGTGGAAGAGAATGATGAGTCTATGAAGATTGAAGAGTCAGATGAACATGACAAGGGTTTAAGTTAGTTTGCTTCAAATATTTGTGGTACTCTTTTGACATTTAATGTTTTTTCCCTCTATTGATTCGTAATTTCATGGTGTATCAAAGTATGTTTTGTAGATTTCAACAAACTAATGAATATATATAGTCGTACATATGAATAGTGTTTCTTATTGGTAATGAGTTTTATAATTTTTTTCTCAATTCTTATCAATTGCTTCAAAATTAAGTCATGACATTAACTCCAAGTTTCAAAATAAATAAATAATAATAATAAAGAAAGAGCGATACAATCACAAACACAAGTTGACTTCTTCCCCTTTGCATCGCAAGTTGCGCTAGGGAGACCTAAACTTATTCTCTTTTTAGTCTACCTCATAGAAGTTGGTTATTGGGCTGATGTACAAAGAAAGGAAAGCTAATATATATGATGAAATGAGGCTGTTAAAAATATCAAAGGCAAAAAAAAAAGGTACTATATATTAAATACGTAGTCTATATACATTATTATTTATCAATATACGGTGAGCGTATACAACAATATATAAGAACGGAAATTGAGTTGAAAATCCAAAAGATCAGCAGCTAAGGCCCAAATTCTAACCCAGGCAGACAACAATCGAACTTGGGCCCAAAATCGTTCTTTCATTTTTTTTATTTGATTCGTTGTTGCAACTTGTCGACTCTAAATATTTTAAGAAAAATTAACTAAACATCATTTTTACATATTTTCTATTATTTCATACCATTTCAAAAAATTACCAAAATTTCTCTTTTCCACAGTTTATCTAAAATTTCCAGATATATCATTGTGAATTATCAAACTATGATTTTTTCGTTTTTCATGCCTAAGATCATTCATGGTATCACCAATTAGCTCCATCACTCTATTTTTAAATTTCAAGTATAGATATAAGTATGAATCAAATTATATATATTTTGCAAATTTTAAAAACTAATGAATACAGGTATAGTCATACACGTGGATAGTGTTTCTTATTAGTTATGAGTTTTGATTTTTCATCAATTCAAATAAGTTGGTTTCAAAATTAGGTCATGCCATTAACTTCAAATTTCAAAAAAAAAAAAATAGAGAAGGAGCGATGCAATTGCAAACACAAGTTGGCTTCTTCCCCTTTCCATCTCGAGTTGGGCAAGGGAGGCTTAAGCTTATTCTCGTTTTAGTCTACCTCATAGTAGTTGATCATTGGACTAATATACAAAGAAAGTTAAGCTAATATATATGATGAAAACGAAGCTGTTACAAGTACCTAAGGCAAAAAAATGGATTGTATACATTGAATACATAGTCAATATACAGTAAATGTATATAACAATATACAAGAACGAAAATTGAGCCGAAACCACAAAAGATCAACAGCTAAGGCCCAAGTTCTGACCCGACAACGATCAGACTTGGGCCCAAAATCCTTCTTCCCTTTTTTTTAAAGGGAAAATTGTATATAATAGCAAACTAATAACCTAAAATAAATGGAGTAGCTAGGGTTTGATTTAATTGTGCTCCATAGCAAATGTTAGCCGAAATTTGCCAGGTGCCTCTCTCCCAAAAGTCTCGCTCACCACTCTCCCATTCTCGCCTCTCTCACTTTATACACAGAAGTGTATAATTTCTGTTTCTGTTTTGTATAAAGCGAGAGAAAATTGTATATACACATGCAAAAACATGTATCTTCGTGTTACACACTTAATTATACAATTTACAAACATTTACTTCAATTCAATTGTAGACAAATGCAAATTTTATACAAATATTGCAGAGAAAAAGGTCAACGAATTATACAATTGCAGTGAAATACAATTTTCTCTAGCTTTATACAACAGAAGTGTATATATTGTGTTTTTGTTTTTGTATAATCGAGAGAAAAACATATATCTTCTTGCTATACACTTATAATTATGCAATATACATACATTTTAATTCGATTCAATTGTATGCAAAGAAAATTTTATAAAAATATTACAGCGAAATAGGCAGTGAATTATACAATTGCAGTGAAATAGGATAGTGAATTATACAATTGCAGCGAAATAGGCCAGCGAATTATACAATTTAGGCCAGCGAATTATACAATTGTATATGTATAGCGAATTATACAGTTTTATGTTTGCTATGGAGCGCAATTATGCAAACTTTGTTATAGCATACAAATATGAATTTTTTGTTTGCTATATATGAAAGTTGCCCTTTTTTTTATTTGGTTAGTTATTCAATTTGTCTAACTCTGAATATATTAAGGAAAAATTAATCAACTAAACATCATTTTTACATATTTTCTATCATTCTCCAACATTTAGAAAAATTACAAAAGTTCCTTTTTTTTCACAATTTTCTCACTTTTTCAGGTATATTATTATACATTATTATCTCACGATTTTTTTTCTTTTTTCACATCTAAAATCACTCAGGGTATCACCAATTACCTCCATCACTCTATTTTTGAATTTCAAATCTTTTCTCTTTCCAATTTATATTTATCGTAATTTACTCAGCTTTGATCATCATACCTCTCTCTCTATGTAGAAAGTGAAACAAAAACACTATTTGGGAAAGTGACTCTCCGCTTTTCTTGTGGATATTTCACTTCCTATCAAAAACCTTTAGTTTCCTGTAAACGCTTATGAGCATGTGGTCAACTTAAAAAAGGAAAGATAAAATGTTTCAACCAGTTTAAAATTGACTTGTTGACGGTGATTGAACTTTATGGAGTTGGGTAATAGTGTAATTGTATCCTTTTTTAAAAAAAAAACAAAAACTTTTTATCTACAAATTTAGTCAAAGATTCATTGTGAAAAAAGAGGCCCAAAAAATTAGGGGGAAAGGTCGAGTTGATGGTGGCTCTGGTAAGGGTTTGGGTTGAGATCTATCGGTGACATCGTTGTTGAATGTAAGAAAAGCTATGAGAGTTATTACAAAGCAACAAAAAAAAAGTGTAGACACATTTCTTCATCATTTTTTTTACTCTTAATAGATCAGTTTGATGATTTTATTTTCTCGATTTTTTGCTGTTCATCTTTTTTTGATACATTATTTTTATTTCTTAAATTAATGTGTAATTCCTTCGTTTGAGGATTCGATAAAGACTTTGAATCAAGATTCATGAGTGACATCATTGTTGAAAGCGAAAAATACCTCTCCATTAGTTGATAGAAAGCAAAAGAAAAAGTGTGCATGGAAAGACTTCTTCGCCTTTTCTTTTTTTTTTTGGCTCTTAGCCAATCAACTTATTTATTTATTAATTGTTTCTTTCAACGAATTTTTTAATTTATCTAGTTGATTTTGATTTCTAAATTAATTTATGATTTATTCGTTTCAGATTGATCTATGATTCATTGATATCTCAAAGTAATTATAACATTGATCAAATTATTTATTATTTTATTTTAGTGCTTAAAACATTATATATTTTATATTTTTGTTATATTTTAAAAATCATTTATATTGTAAATTTTTAAAAAATGTGTATAGATATAGTCATACAGATAAACATTTTCTTCTTATTGCTTATATTTTCCTCAATTCAAATCACCTAGCTTCAGAATTAGGTAATTAGATTAATCCAAAATTTGAAGAAAAAAAAATAGAGATAGTGAGCAATGCAATTACAAAAAAAGATATTTTGAAATAAAATTATACTTTTTCATTTATCTTTTCTTCTTTGTAGAAGAGCTAATAATTTGTGTAATTTGTAGTAACTAAGTAAGAAGATGACAAGATATACTGAGGGTGCAAATACAAGTATAATGTCCTGGACCTTCGTCATCACACCTTGAACCAACTACAAGTTTTCCATAACGTTGTTTACAAAATGATAAGCAAGATGGTGATAGTTGTGAACAAGGAATAGAAGAAGAAAAAAATTCATCACATGTATCATCGCCATTCACTTGTTTTATCATCAACATGCCTGCAAGATCAAGATTACGAATTACAAATTTAATTAGTCGCATATGTTAATTTAATTTTGAACAAATATAAATAAGAAAAATTATAAATGAATACAACCATAGATACAAATAATGAGAAAAATAGAACAGCGAAAAGATGCACCAAAATTTTCCATTGAATAATTTTGTGGTGAATAAAGTAGTCCCTCTACATTTCTTTTATAATGGTAGAGCCTCAATGAAAAATATTTAATTAACTTGCCAATTGAGGAAGATTTACTTTTGAAGTCAATATATATGAAGAATAATATGGAAAAACTATTAATTGTAACAACAAATATATACATATGAATAATATGGAAAAGTATTAATTGTAACAAAAATATATACATATGAGTAATATGGAAAACTATTAATTGTAGAACCAAATCTTAGATGTACAAAAGTATAATTTATTTTCTTAGATTTCTTGCTACAATTAATAATAATTGTTCAAAGAATAATTTATTACAGCAACAGTCTGAAGAATATTGAGAACTATTAATTGTAACAACAAATCCTATGTGTTCAAAGTTTAGTTTTTTTAGATTATACTTTTCCATAAGAATCGTAAATTTGAGGGGTATACCATGTTTTTTTCCCATGTAAAAGATAATAGATTTTTTGAAAATTAATTTTGAAAAAATATTTTTTCAAAAATAAATTGATTTTAAAAGTTTTATGAAACATGCTCTAAAGAAGCAATTATTTAAAAATTTGGCCAAACGCTAATTTGCTCAAAAATGCTTTTTAAAATACGAAGAATGGCCTAAAGTATGCTTAAACTATTAAAATTGATACAAAAATACTATTCATTATGATGCATTCATTATGATGCGCTCTTGAAGTTAACCTTTGTAGCCCTTTTATATCTTTATCATAAACGACCCTATTAATTAAATTAATTAGTCTTCTCAGTTAATACAAGCATGATCTAATTCGTTTTTTATTAAAAAATACAAGATTACAAAAACAATGCTTAAATCATTCAAAATATATATACTTTGGTGTAAAAATATAATGATTAATGCATCAGATAGGAAATATTTTCATCAAATTCCACCAAAAGAAAACCATAACAAAACAAATGGGGTGGAGTGAAGTTCTTCATGAGTTTTACATTGATTCAAATATGTTATGCTAGTATATTGTAATATAATTTTACATTTTTTTTGGAAAATCATTTTGAAATATAAAAAGTATTCTTACAATAAGTAAGAATACTTGATTAAGTAAATAAGGTGAGCAAGTACTAAAAATCATTTGAAGGAGTTCATGCCGGGAAAGGAAATAAAATTCTCTCTAAGTTGAAAGAAATATATGGTCATTTGAAAATTTAGAATTAGAAAGGGACATAAATTTCAAAGGAAGTGTTGACACTCAATTTTGATCATGCACAATATATATTAATTAATGAGCTTCCTAAATTTCAAACGATTTGAAATAATTGATTTTATAAAATTCAAAATATTTTTTAAGTTATTTTTATAGTTTTGTCACTTTATTATGATTTTTAAATAATATATGTCTTTACATAATTATGTATTTAATTAGTACAGTTTAAGAATATTCAAAAATCGTCTAAAAAAAGATTTTGCTTAAATTAATTAGTTTAATTATTTAGTTTATATTTTTGAGTTAACATTTTATAATTAAGTTAATTATTCTATTTCGTTGATATTAAGAAACTCATTAATTAATGGGAAAATTGTATATAATAGCAAAACTAATAACCTAAAATAAATGGAGTAGCTAGGGTTTGATTTAATTGTGCTCCATAGCAAATGTTTGCGAAAAATTGTCAGGCGCCTCTCTCCCAAATATCTCGCTCACCACTCTCCTCCAATCTCTTGCTCGCCTCCTCACCTTTTATACAAACACAAGTGTATAAAAATTATTTCTAATTGTATAAAGCAGAGAAAATTGTATAAATACATATATTTTTGTTCCCCTCACTCCCCTCTTCCAGATCTCGCTCGCCACTCTCCCAAATCTCACTCGCCACCCTCGCCTTTCTCACTTATACAAACAGAAACGAAATGTATAAATTGCGTTTCTGTTTGTATAAAGCGTGAGAAAATTGTATATACACATGCAAGTACATATATTTTCGTCCTATACACTTATAATTATACAATAAAAATACTCCCCTGCCCAGTTTCTTTTGCCTTTCTCTCTTTCTCGTTTTATACAATTTTCAAATTGAATCTAATTTCTCTATTTCTCGTTTTATACAATTCGATTCAATTGTATATTCTTTGTCAAGTCTCTTTTGTCTTTCTCTCTTTCTCATTTTATACAAATTCAAATTGTATATAATTGTTCTATACACTTATAATAATACAATTTATTTTATACACTTCATTTTTATACAGTTCTCTGCCTAAATATCTTTCTCTTTCTTGTTTTATACACTTCGTTTTATACAACTTGCTTCAACTGTATATGTATAGCGAATTATACAGTTTCTATGTTTGCTATGAAGCGCAATTATGCAAGCATTGCTATAACATACAAATATGAATTTTTTATTTGCTTTATGTGAAAGTTGCCCTTGATTAATTTATATTATTTAGTTTTTAACCGAATCACTAATCAGTGCAATTTGGTTAACTTGTTGAATTTATTGGGGAACTAAATTGCAATATATTGGGCCATTTCCTAATTGCAAATCTAACCTATTTTATTGCACCATTTTTGCCCTAAACCCATTTGGGACAAACCAAATTTTGGGTCTTTTATTATGTTCCAGCAAACTAGAGCCATCAATAGGTTTGTTGGGTCAGCTTGGCTTAACCCGAGGTTTAATAAGGTTAGATTATGATTTATGTAGCCCATTTAAGAAAAGGATTTTTTAGTCCGGCTTGAATAAGCCTGCTAATTTATGGGCTTGAGAAATATCGGTAGAGCCGACCCGTGGATCAATATAAATTAATTAAAAAATATAATATAATATTAAAATTTAAAGTTAAAAAGATTCCAAACTCAAAACAATTAGGTTAATATTTCTATTTAGATATTTATACTTTTAATTGAAAAAAAAAAACTTAATAAATATTATAAAGATAATTTATTTGTGCATATGATTAACAATTAGTAATAGTAACATCATGTAATATTGTTTTGTCGATATTTATGATAATATTTTTAAATTATAATATTTAATTTAATTTAATAATTATAAAAAATATTATTATTTCAAAAGTGGGATGACCCGGCAACCCTGCAAGCCTACGTACGATTAGCCCGGATGAGGTGGGGTAGCCCATATTCACAAGCTAACCCACTTCAGCCCAACTGTTTCTCAACCAGCCCAGGCCCACTAAAATACAATACCAAAGAAAACCCATCAGAATACATTTGTTGATCATAGTTGTCTTTTTTGTTAGATTCTTGTTTAAATGTTGGTGTCTAAGTCAATATTTCAAAACTTGTTTAGTTTTACTTGATGAATGTTTCTTTTAAAAACGGGATCATGAATGTATAATACTCCACTAGATCATTGCTTTTAAATTATTATTTTTCAATGCTAGTACTATATATAATATATCAAATAAAACAATTGATTATATTTTTCATAAATCTTAAGTTAGATATTTAGCCCAAACTTTGATGAGAGGAAGGTTAATAATCAAACCTAAACTTGAGTGAGTTAAATAAGTTATGATTGCATGAATTATAATTTTGACCAATTTGAACCTAAGTTGCTAATAATCAAATTTGACTTAAATATGCAAACGAAAAAAAGTATTTTTTTTTAAGTAAAAAACTATTTCTACAAAATTAATATCGTAGAAAGACCTTATTAGAATTGGTAAGGTAAAATCTAGTCCTCCTTACTTGTATTTATTCTTGTTGAGGATTTTATCTTATTAATAAAAAAAGGGATAATGCACAAGTACTCCCTTAACCTATGCCCAAAATCTCAAAGACACGCTTATATTTATACTAAGAACTTATTACCTTCCTGAACTTATTTTAGTAATAATTTTATGCCACTTTTCAACCTACGTGGCACTATCTTGTGCGCCCAACGATGATTGACTTTTTTCTACAAGATAGTGCCACGTAGGCCGAAAAGGGATATAAAATTACTTATAAAATAAGTTCAAGGGGTAATAGAACTTTAGTATAGTATAAGTGTGTCTCTAAAATTTCGGACGTAGGTTGAGGAGATACTTGTGCATTATCCTTAAAAAATGATTAATACCATAAAGCTTCACTCAAGAAAGTAACAGAAAATAATTAGTTATAAAGCACGTGAAATATGATGGTGGTCCACGGAAGACATGAACTTGACTTAGGAAGAAAATAAAATAAAAGAGTTATAGTAGGTGGTGATGATAAGAATTGGAAAGCTCCGTACGACCCTACCTCCATTTCTTGATATTGCTTAATAATAATATTATAGACGATGGCCAAGTTAAGGATTTGTTTGCACATAAAAAAAATAATATTTATTTATTTTTGTTAATGTATTTGAGCAATAATGTCTACTTATAAAGCATTCAAGTTAATTTTTCTTTGTGTTCAAGTTTATTAGAGTAGTTTATTAAGTAGAGGAGATAATATCTTATATGATCGCTCAACTTCGAAAAGTTTACTTAAAAAGTCATTTAACATTGTTTTTTAACACAAAAGTCACTCAACTATTGGTGTTTCACTTAGAAAGTTACTTTACTATTTATATTTCACTTACAAAGTCACTTAATCAATTTTAACAATTTTTTCATTAAATTTTGTAAAAATACTAATAAAATATTTAAAATAAATAAATAAGATGCTTATTTTAATTATTGTTTTTTACTATCTTTTCGGATAATGCACAAGTACCCCTCAATCTATACCCGAAATCTCAGAGACACACTGTACTATACAAAGATCCTATTTATTAGGTTGTACTATTTATTCTCCATTTATTCTCTGTAACAAAAAATACTCTGAATAATTAATATATACCCCACCGCCGTGGAAGTTTACTTACGTGATGTTACCACGAAATATTGATTTCTCTCTTTCTCTCTCTAGATCTCTCATCTCTTTCTCTTGAAAGTTCTTGTGTTCTTCATTCATCAAGTGTGTGTGGATTCGATCCTAACACTATTACCCCCTGAACTTATTTTAGTAATAATTTTCTATCCTTTTTGGCCTAC